AATCAAAGGCTAACTTTATTATCATAAAAAAAGTTTCAAATTAAAATAGGCTATTAGCAAGGAAATTGGTAATAAAAGAGAGTTCCAAGCACGAACCTAAAAACCCTGAGGTTGCAGGTTGTTGCATTTTTCAATGCATTGTCGACATTCAGCTACCATCTCTTCAATATCCTTGTCTATACATGAGGTCTGAGAGATTGAGGTATCATGACTCTCAAGCCCTTCAGTACACAATCATCTTGAATGGACAGCTCGTTATCGTGAAATCCGTATTGTTCAACAGATTGTCCCGATTTTAAGGCCTGTAGGACTGGACCCAAAACAGCATCGTTGAGAGTTTCCTTAGCCACCACGGTACTGTTTATATTGAGTGTTTCCAGTTGATTTATGTGGTACCTCCAGAGGTCATCTACAGAATGTTCTTGAACAACTTCGATAGGGAAACGTGAAAGATAATCTGTATTGCAATGATGAGCGGTTTGCCTGTACTCTATGTCATAGTGGAACCCGGAGAGAAAGTGAGCATAGTTGAATATCCGTGTTGCCGAGATTGTTGGCAAGGTCTTTTCTGGATTAAAAATTGACATTAGGGGTTTCTGACCTGTGATCAAAGTAAATTTGCGGCCATAACAAAACGGGAAAAACTTTTTCAGGCCCCAATATATTCCCAAGGCTTCCTTATCGATTTGAGAGTATTTTTGTTCAGATTTTGACAAGGATCGAGAGGCAAAGGCAATTGGCCTGTCGTTTCATCTTTATAGCGGTGTGAAAGAACGGCTCCCACACCTACTGGTGAAGCATCAGTAGCCAAGACCAGTGGCAAGCTACTTACCATTTTACTCGTCGCCATTGTTGATTCCACTAATTTTACTAATAAAAGTTCACATTTTGTATAAGAAAATAGAAAGTTAGTATTTATTAAATCACAATCTGTAAGTAAACATAAACAATTCAACAAGTAAACAAAATAATAATTTGAACACATGTTAGAAATAAAATGTAAATAAAACATATGTAACACATACCATAGTCAACTGGATTATTTTATTACAGACATTAAAGGCACATTAGCAATTCCATAGAGATATTACCTCCACTCCTCTCTGATCACAGTAATTGACAATTTTTTCTTGTTATTCCCCTATTGGGTCTAATGATGATTGAAATGTCCAATTGAAATGGACCACCACTTACAATCTTTTACACGTATTGACTGTCTTTGTTAGACAACATTATAAGTGTACATATACGTATGTTTCAAGTGTCAGATGTTTTTTATTTAATTCCTGTAAATTTCATAACACGTACAAATGTACAATGCTGATCATTAAGTTATTTAGTATTTTAATGTTTTACATAAACACAAGCATACCTCATAAGTGTTAGAAGATTGTGAAGAGAAAGATATAAATATTAGTTTTATTCAAATGCTTAATTACTGACAATGCAAAGCTAGCCAGAACATTATGTATCAAGTGTAAGGAAGTTTTCCCTTTGAAGGAGAAAGGTTCCTTCACACTCCAATTTTTCTTACTAAAAAGGGGTTTTATGCTGGTTAAATTAAAATACAACTCAGTGAATGAAAACACAAACTTTCTAGTTCATGGAAGAAGCTGACAATGAAGAAGCTATTTTAAAGCTCCAGGATGATATTAATAGTTAATGTAATAAATAGCCCAGAGATATTATGGAAAACGTTTTTATACTGAACAAACACTATTAATACATCCTTTTCCTGAAAAATACAGAAAATATATACGTCTAATAACACTTGCAATAATATATTTACACTTATACTGTTGACTTACAAGACGGTAAATACATGTAAAAGTTGGTAAGTGGTGATCGATTTCGATTGGACACTCCAATCATCATCAGACCCAATAGGCGAATGTAACTATTTATATTTCTAAGAAATTGTTTTTACCTATTGTCTACAGCTCAATAACTTGTAACTTCCGTTACGGCCGTTTTGGAATTAACATGCCATCATCAGACGTCTTCGGCTGAAGCAGCGTCGTCACACTAGAAACATATAACACGAACACATTTTACGAATACAAATAAACGAAAATAAAACTAACAGGCCTGTCGCACACACGTTACCGGTTGACATGATGAGAGCTAAATGCCGACTGGAGGTTAATCCTGCATCGTTAACCTCCAGTCATCATTTAGCTCTGATCATGTCAACCGGTAACGTGTGTGCGACAGGCCTGTTAGTTTTATTTTCATTTATTTGTATTCGTAAAATGTGTTCGTGTTATATGTTTCTAGTGTGACGACGCTGCTTCAGCCGAAGACGTCTGATGATGGCATGTTAATTCCAAAACGGCCGTAACGGAAGTTACAAGTTATTGAGCTGTAGACAATAGGTAAAAACAATTTCTTAGAAATATAAATAGTTACATTCGCCTATTGGGTCTGATGATGATTGGAGTGTCCAATCGAAATCGATCACCACTTACCAACTTTTACATGTATTTACCGTCTTGTAAGTCAACAGTATAAGTGTAAATATATTATTGCAAGTGTTATTAGACGTATATATTTTCTGTATTTTTCAGGTAATTTAATAACACGTACGATGCTAATCAAGAAGTTATTCATACATCCTTTTAACAATTACACCAAACCACAACATACAAAAGGTAAACAAGACAATTAATATTTGATCAGGTGATGATGTAAAGACAAGATGAGAAATATTACTTCTCTAACAGATATATCAGAACTATCAATAAATATTCAAACTGAAAACTCTCTTTTGGTTCAGAACTCTAAGATGAACATTCAAATAACTCAAACTGGAACTGAAGTTCTTTAATGGTGACACAAAACCCTATGGATTTCATACATTAACCTTTTTGATACTACTATCTACTACTGTGTATAGCTTATCCCTTGCTAAGTTCACTTGAAGGTGAAGCCTTACACTTAGTCAAATCATTACCAATCTCTTATGGCAATTATACAATAGCCTATACTTGAGCTTATAATGCCCTATAATGCCTATAATGCTTTAAGTGAAAGATACCACTCAAAGCGTAGGTTAATCAGTAGGTGAGCGTAGGTCTGTTCACCTCAGTAAAATTGTCAATCTACCCAACATCACTGACACGACACATCTGTCAAAAACCTCAGATCATTTTTAACGATTTCAATGAAAATGAACAAGCTCTTAGTGTTCTTGACTATAATGTCATGGAAGACAAATATCTCAAGTAGGTTGATCTTACGCAAAATGAATTCATATATCTGTCAACAATTTGAATCAAATCAAAACACATAAACTCTTCTGACTTTCCTCAAGCAAGTGAAATAATCAAATTCCTCAAGGAATTTTGTAACAACAGTAAAGATGCTTCTCTATGTCACAGTCAACAAACAGTCTCCTCTCCAAATATCCAACTCTCACCAAGTTTCATGTCAAAATGAACCACATTTATTTTTAATTACTCACACAAAAATCGCCTATTTCTTAAAATAACAGTTTCAGTTTGCATTACAAAATGCATACATAGCAGGCTCAACACATGCCTATGAGCAGGCAAATATTGGGTTAATGGGTGTATAGGGGGTGAGGGTAGTTGTAGGGGGTCAGTAATACATACAAAATTTACCACGAGGGTCCTTGAGTTATGAGGTTTGAGAACCCCTGCCCTATGGCTTTTGTACTTCAAAATGATTTGAAATATTTCTGTTGCCATGAAAATCGCAAAATATATAGTTGCCCTGTATTTCATAGTAAAGCCCATCAGGAAAGGTTTAACGTTGTACGTGACTTAAAACACAGTACAAATTGCCACGGAAATCACTTTGCTAAACGCTGCAAGTCTACTAATATTTGTAAGGCCTGTTTCAAACCTCATCACTCACTCCTCCATTTTTTAAAGCCTACTAAGCCAATGGCTGATAACAGAAACCGCTGAATCAAAGAAGAAAATACAACATTTAAAACTGATCCTATACAGTAGTTCTAACAACTATTTTCCCTAACCCACAGAAGACGAATACGTTTTTAGCTAAACTAGAACAAAAAGAAGCAATCTCTAACTCAAAACCAATAACTCCTCTTTCCGTAGAACCTTCTAAACTGACAGCTGTAACTCCTGGTCATCTTGCCGACTCTTCTCTGTTCCTGACCCAAGAAATACCTCACCTCTTACTGATAATTTGCTCAAGCCTTCACACAAAACATATGATGCCTTTGGAGTCATAAATATATGAAGACCTCTCAACAACGTTGATTTAACTGGAACACGAAGAAAGAAAACCTCAATGTTGATGACTGTTTTTTCTTCAACACACCAGCTCCTCAAATTGACAGACCAGCTGATCCTCATTCAAGACCATCAGTCAATTAAGTTTTCATACCATTAAAATGTGTTCTTAAAAAAATTGTACACGCCCCCCCCCTACCCCTATGGTCAGTTCTCTTAAATTGTATATTGTTTTTTATTTCTCTTTTTTTAACCTTATTGGTTCAAAGGGGGCAGTATGTGCAGTCAAGTTGTCTTTGTATTTTTGTTATTTTAAATGTCTTTGATTTTAACAGTCCATATGAAATTCCATCACATGGCCATATCCATTGTTGCATTCATTCACCACGAATCACCTCTCATAACAACACGTATTCATTTTTTATCTTATAAATTAAACCTCTTTTATACCAAAACCCTTGATTTTTCCTTTTATATTATAACTACACCACACAATGTTAATGACATTTCCGTGACAAATGGAGATATTCAGGGCTTTGTTGCCAGACATATTTGATACAAAATGTTACACAAATCGGTCTATGTTTACAAATTTTATTCCCGTACTTGTGGATACTTAGGCCCAGGTCCATGTTAATATAGTATAGTACACTTGTATAGTACACGACCATAATCTGTTTAGTTTTGGTGCATTTACACAATAAAAAAGGGTTTTACTTGAACCATATTCAATAGGGAGTTGTGAAATATTAAATGGTAAAATAGTTGTCTTGTTAGGTTGTTGAGCTGACAGAAGACTTTTTGAGTCAGCATCACCTGAGAAATGAGCCATGTTCTTATACATTTTTAGAATATATTCAGGTAAGCATTTATTAATTAGAATCAGTGTTGCTCTTGTTTTTATTGAGCTTTATTTTAATTTAAAATGATCGTTTAACGGTATATACTTTGTACTATCTATTTCAAGATACGTGTGCTTTGTCATTTAGCTTACCCATCTAAGTGTTATTAGTAGGAAACTTTAAGACTTGTTTGGAAATTAAATTTAACTTTTTGTTAGTTTCAAATTCGGCAATATAGGTAACGAAACTGGCTTAGCTTCTTCCATCCTGAACTTTTGTATAATTTTTTCAATTAACCTAGTTTGTTTTAGTTTAAGTCCTTCTTCACACTTTTCTATAGAAATACCAAGGAACTCTAGATGTTTATCATCAGTAAGATCTCTCATTTCAAATGAAGATATTAATTTGGCTTTAACTTCCAACAAAATATTCTTTTCTTTGGCCAGAATAATCATATCGTCAACATATATAACGATAAAAACATCTTGAGTATAATAGAAATATGGATCAGAAGACGATCTCTTAAAGTCAATACTGATCAAAAACTCATGAAGACGAGTATACCAACATTTTGGCGCTTCTTTCAATCCATATAGTGATCTTTTAAGCTTGCACACGATACCATCCTCAGTATTTACCCCTTTAGGCGGTTTCATATACACAGGGTTGGTTAGATTTCCATTAAGAAATGCACACTTTATATCTAGTTGACAAAAAAACAAACTATGCACAACCAAAAATGAAAGTAAAGTTCTTATCGTTATCATGCGTGCTACCGGAGCGAATATTTATTCACATGACATCTCCCCATGAAGAAATCCGCGAGCAACAAGCCGTGCTTTCTTAACTAGGTTGCCTTTAACAGATTTTTCCCGAAAAATCCACCGAGAGTCAATTATTTTAGCGTCTTTTGGAGTTTCAACCAAATCCCAAGTTTCGTTTCTGTGTAGACAGTTTAATTCTTCATTCACTGCACTACGCCATCCTTCATCTTGAAATGCCTCCTCATAAGTCTTTGGTCCATCGTTCAAAAGTTCATCCACAGAATAAGCAGCTACATAATTTACCTCATAGTCATCCAGCCATGTAGGTAGTTTATTTTGCCTTGTCGACTTTCTCAAATTATCTTGTGTTTCATTGAGGTGATAGTCATTGACATCTGGTTCTTGAAAGATTCCACCTTGTTCAATTTCAGGATTTTCATGCAGTTGATTAACATTACCTTCAACTTCTCTATCACTGTCATTTGAGTATACATCAGGTATGTAGATTGAAGATTCAAACTGTAGAATGTCTTGTTTGTCTTTCACATCATAGTACAGCTCATTTTCAAAGAACTTGACATGTTTAGCTATGATGACTTTTTCTTTCACAGGGTCCCATAAACGATAACCATTGTTTGCATAGCCAACCATGATCATTTTTGAACTGCGGTCATCCAGCTTCTTCCGAAGTTCCTTATCGACATGACAGTACGCTACACAACCAAAGAGTTTGATTTTTGCCAGATCAGGTTTATATCCATACCATATTTCAGCAGGTGTAACATTTTTGTCTAGAGTTGCAGTAGGTCTGCGATTTATTAAATACACAGCTGATCGCAAAGCATCACCCCAGAAGTGTTGTGGCATTTTCAAGTCAATTAAAATGCAACGCAAACACTCTCAAATAATCCTATTAACACGTTAAGTGCGGGCATCATCAATAGATGATGTCCGACACTAGCACTGGTGGCGGACATCAGCTAAAGCTGACGTCATGCCACTCTCTCCACTTTAGTTTAGTGTGAGCTCAGCCATTGCCGGGGAACGTTATAATCGTTGTCAGCCTGTAGCTTAGATTATTTAAGCTAAGTCTGATGTAGGTTGGTACTAAAATTTCCCGTAAAATCCCGTCTAGCAATACTTTTGTCCCGGTTCCGGCAATTTTCTCTTTTCAAGCCACTTTACAAAGACACTGGCTACGAATCCAGGCAGTGCTGCTACCTTTGGGTGTTTCAGTGAACTACGTCCACTCTCGGGCTAACACAGCACAATCACCGCTGCTCTTTTTTCATTCGTCAGACTGAAATATTTGAATGCCAATTGCGTTCACCGATTCAGTTGCGCTGCGGGGCTTCGCCCGGGCCTCGCCGCCATTATCGAGCGCCTGTTTGAAGGTATGCCGCACTGAACGTGTTAAGCCGTTCACTGCATCCATTCTGTTGGGGATTCCGTGGTACAGTATACTCTAAGGTTATACCCTTTTCACGACAAAATTTTTGAAATTCTTTAGATGCATATTCCCCACCGTTATCACACGGAAGGCGGTCAATTTTACTTCCAAAACGTGCAGAAACAGAGGCTTCAAATGATTTAAAATGTTCTAATACTTCATTCTTGCTTCTCATTAAATAACAAAAAGTAAAGAAAATTATGAAAGCTTACCTTACAAACAACTATTAGGAAGTTTAATATATCTCATGTTAGGTACAAGACCAGATCTGAGTTACTCTGTTACGTACTTCAGCACCTTTCAAAACTGTTATGACATAGGACATTGGAAGAACTGAAAAAGTATTGTGAGGTACTTAATTGGAACCAAGGATTTGACGCTGACCTATTCCAAAAATAGCAAAACAGAAAATCTCATTGAATGCTACTGCGATGCAGATTTTGCTAATAGTATTGAAGATAGGAAGAGTATCAGTGGTTATATGTTTAAAATATTTGGCAACACAGTGGCTTGGAAAACTAAGAAACAACCAATAGTGGCTCTTTCCACTTGCGAAGCGGAATATATTGCCTTGGCTACATGTTCAACGGAGTGTGTGTTCATAACAAGATTGTTATCAGAAATACTACTTAAGGTTCAAATAACTCCGGTTGTTATTTGGGAAGATAACCAATCTTGCATAAAAATGGCTAAGACACTTGAAACTAAGAGATCCAAACATATTGATGTGCGATTCCATTATATAAAGGAGCTAATAGAAAATGGTGTAGTGGAACTTAAGTATGTTGCATCTGAAAAACAAGTTGCAGATATTTTTACCAAAGGGTTGCCTATATTTAAATTCAACAAATTCAGGAAGGATATGGGACTTAAATGAAACTTGACATTTTTAATATTTGTGCCTGAAGATTATGAAATTGCGGGGGAGTATTGAAGCAATTTCAATAAGCCTGTTTAGAATGTCATATTAATTATAAAACATATGACATTTTTTACTAAATGTAATTGTTCAGTTTGTATTGGTGTTGTGTTCTGTTCTGTCTATTAAAAGTTAAATTTAATTTCCAAACAAGTCTTAAAGTTTCCTACTAATAACACTAAGTAACCAATGAATGAGGGAAAATGTTTTAAGTAAAGCTGTGACTTAATGGAAATTTAACAGTGCTTAAAATTAAAACGATAAAGAGGAATGACAAAAATGCTATCTGCAGATGACTTCAACGTGAGCAGAGTTTGTTTGAAAAAATTAGACTATTTGGACTAATAATGTACTATTTGACATCCTACTGCTTTTAAAAGTAGGGCACAGATTCATTCTGCCAATAAAAGAAAATAGTAAATAACGTTCTTTGGCTAACAAAATAACGTGCAGTAGGCTAAAATCTATCAAATAACAAAAAGTAACACTAGGTACCAATAAATCAAATTGATAACTTTTGGTTTATGGTACTTCTTTTGAGGGTGAAATGTATTTGTTCTAAAACCAGGTAGCTGGAACTCTAAAGAAGTTGGATGAGGTGATGAAGCAGTGGTTGATATGCGGTGATGTCGCCCAGCATCTAAACCTGGTCATACAAAAAATAACTATTTGGTGTGACGCTAGAGACTGTATTATACGACCCACCTTACCATCACCTACCAACACCTCTACAGGTTTGTAACATCCTACTATGGTATCACTCAAATAGACAAGTCGCCAAAAGCTTGCAAGGAAGGAGCATGCCACATAGTTTTGTTTTAAATTAAAACTTATTTCAGCTGATTAATGTATCCCAAATTTTACCCTTGTAGCATTGACTATTGACTACTGACTATTTGACTACTGAAGCTTGTAGGTTGCAATGCTAGAGGCTGGAATGGTGCTAGATGTGTATTCTTTTTAGCACCATGTCCACATGAATCAACTTTTTGACTAATTTAGTACTGGCATAGACAAATAGAATAAATATAGACCGTCAGCTGTGCTGCAGTTAGCATAGGTTCTGGCGTCCACCGCTATGTTTGACGTGTAGTTACGGCGCATACCGCTGCAGCGTCTGCTGGTCACATACGGCTCCTGCCCTCCTCACCTGCTGCGGTGTGTGCCGTAACTACACGGTACTCCTAGCGGTGGGCGCTGGAACCTTCCTTTGGCAGTCTATATTTATTCTATTTGTCTATGGTACTGAATTGCAAAAAAAATGGCCTTGAGTTGATTACTATATTACAGTTATCCAAAACTTAGAAACATAATTAAGAGAGCAAGTTATCTAAAAATTCATGAAAAAATCACAACCAAATATATTTGTAGCTTAACTAAAATTTTTGATCTGATTAATATTGAGTTTCTTTTTTAATATGTTTATAGGTTATATCATAGATAAAACATATATGGAACAGCTGAAGCCAATTTTATCGCGGTGCACTGTAGGTGTTGTGTTTTGTATACAATTTTTGTATTGTTATTTCAGTCATTAAAACACCGTTTAACCAAATAAAACGATATAATCATAAACAATAACTCATCCTCTAGTTATATAACCAAACAGTAAAGCACAAATCATGAAATTAACCCTAAAACAATAGAAACATAATTCCGTCAACACTAGCCACCAGTGTCACCAGACATGAACTAGACATGAAAAACAAACTTCAAAATTTTCAATGGGATGGGAATTCTACTTGTTTTGGTTAGTCTATGGTTATATAGTATGTTTTTGATTGGAAGAACATGCTTAATGCTTAATTACCTGTAGGCTACAGTAGCTAGTCGATAGAAAACACATTTATATTTCACACAAAAAATTGAAACATTTCATGTCACTTTGTCAATCACAAAGAAAGGAATATTGAAATGGTTGTATAGGATGTAGTAGAGCCTGGGAATAGTTTCATGACCATGTATTCTGTCTGGATTAGTGACATCTGGATCTGAGGAGGTAGCTGATGACACTGACACACAGACATTGGAAGTAATTCACAGGATCCCGACTGTGGGCATTTGTGAGACTCGCATGTTTGGAGATCCAGTACTGCTTACACCTTGCCATTGGCAGAACCATCTACATTCGGTACAACATGAAGCACTTAATCATAATGCAAAGGTATAGACAGTTTGTTTAGTTAAATAGGAAATTTTAGGTCAGCCGAGAGTACCTTAGGCCCTACTTATTTTATAACTTCCAGATGATAGTATAATTTACTTTTGTAAAAAAATACAACTGACTTCAAACGCTCTAAAAAGAATGAAATAATTTCAATAAAGTAAACTTTTGTATTAGTCAAGCTCACGTATTTTAAGTTGGCGCGGCTCTATGATGATTTTTGATACAAAATTGATGCAAATGTCCACATTGCAGGTGACTATCTATAACTGAAGATGTTAATCTGCATGAATTTCATAGTTATGCGTTGGGTATTATTTTATTACTGTAACCAAAGATCGGCAGATACCGTACCATCATAAAGTTTTTTTTTTATAAGATAATAAATTATAATCTTATAGCGGTATTAACGAGTATCTTTAAATACTTTAAATACTCGTGCTTTGCATTTGCAATGAGAGAGGACACGTTTTGAGGAAATTTGGTTTACTACAATCTACGGTATACTATAGTATATAAAACATCTACCATAGCCATAATGTTCTACCACTTCACCTAAACAATAAAAAGAAGTAAAGTTCACACACTCAGGTTTTGTTGCTGCTTGGTTCAAATTAGCTGTTGTCATAAATGTATAAAGAACTAATGATGCTGCACCCTGTTGGTAAACCGTAACCTTTTGTTGCTATTGAACATCATAGAAACAAATTGTGTAGTTAAAACAGCAGGCAAAATTATTTAATTCCTTTTTAAGAGTTGTTAGCCTCCGGATTACGTTTGAATATTTATAATGGTTTAAATACCTCCATATAGGGAATAAGCTATTACCGTAGTACTCATGGTAAGACCTGGATCCGGGACCGATTTAATTTTTCGTTTTGAAGTCCCTAGAGGCCAAAAACACCATCCGTTCAAATTCATATATATATATATATATATACGGCCGCACCCGGGAAGCCAGTCACATAAAATATACACTGGAAGTCAGTCAGTTGCACCCCCCAATATATTTCAAGACTATGATATATATATATAATATATATTGGTAAATATCATAAGCCTAGACACTTCTGAACGTATATATCTATTTTTTTCTTAAAAATACTAAAATATAATTACGTAAAAACTGCTATGCTAATGCAGTCACAACCGCATTTGCATGGGAAAGCCAGTCACGTAAAATTTGTGCTGCTAAGCCAGTCATTATATATTTTACCGCATACCACTGGAATCCAGTCACTGAAAATCCGCCGGGTATCCCGTCACTTCAGTCAGTTTCACCCCTGTCCTTCTACTTTGTAATATTTATTTGTTATACAAGCTTGAACATCCGCACCTCAAACAAACGGATTATGTTTCAGGCATTGGGCACTCTCCTAACCAATCTTTCGCGGCACTTCATTTTAATTAGTTGTCTTCCAGATTACTTAGCAATTACTGTTCGACAGGCTTAATACTTAAATGCCAATGTAATCTTTGGTCGTCTTAATGGCGATCGTCCTGCCAACTGTGGATACAAATATGTACCGAGCTAATTCGCAAGCGCAAGGTTGGAAGTTATTGCTTTATAGTTGCACAAGTAGGCCTATTGTTGAGTCCTTGGAGGCAAGCGGCCATCTTGGATAGTTTCAAACAGTTGCAAAATGTATCGTCAAAAATATTTTTTCAAACACAAACATGTTTATAATTTAAATATCTAGTATACCGTGGGATTAGAAATGTTCTTTGTAGTTTTGAATTATTCTCCAATGGAGTCGATAAAAGCTAACGGTCACGGTCATCTTTGAAAAAGACCAACTAATACGAAAACAATATCCTGAGTTGCGCGGGCCGTAACACACAGATAGTTTTCCCGCCTCAAACAATCGATGGTGGGTGGAACAAGGCAAAATTCTTGTCTTTCTTGCGGCAAGAGGTAGGGGCGAGCCTAACGGGTTCCATTCATTGATGGGCTACCGACCAACCTGGGGTAGCGACTAGCGAGCCAGTGGAAGAATCGGCCGGTTATTTCCAACTTATTGCTGGTTCTCGAGCTTACTGAGCTCGTTGTACAGTGAAATCTTACTTCCCTATTTTATATAGCCACAATCGAATAGATTTTTACAAGAAAGAATGAAGATATAGACTCAGTGATGTGTGGTTACTTAATCAAATCTTGTTCGTTGATTGTTTATCTTTTTATAAGAGCCAATAATCAATCAACTTAATTTCTTTATTTTTAGATCTATTATCTATATTAATTCAAGAGTTAGCCCTGTACCTGGTTAACACATATACCGATTACTTTAAACGTGTTTTCTTTGAGTTACGCCCTATAGGGTTCTAAAGTTTCACAATGTTTACATTTTTGAAGAATGTAGATAACATAGTTATAACGAAGTCAGCTGTAAATGCAGTGATTTGATTTTACGGTCCAAAAGGTACAGTAGAAACTATTCGAATTGTGAAACTTTTAATTTTTGCTACGAGCCTGTTAATTGGAGATTGTGTTGTGACTTTCTAAATTTAAGGATGTAAACGTATTAACATGACGTGTTTGGAGTGGGATTTGAAATATGTGACGTGTATCAAACTTTTTCTCTTCAAAATCCTCTCCGATGCAAAAGACGGGTACGGCAGCTAGGTTTATTAGAATTCAAAAGTTTTTTATGATTAAAATTGTCCTCCAATGTTTAGAAATTATTTTTCGATCAAGATGTTTAATGAATAAATAATTGTTTTGCCAAATTATGTTTTGAAACCAGGAACTAAAAATATATCAGGAAATAGACATTTTGTTTCAGAAAACAATGTCGATCAAATAGGCCTACGTACTTTTTAAATAAAAATACTGGTCGGATGGTTTGTAACTTTGTTGTTTATTTACTTCATTAAATTTCTCATAAAAATCACCACAGGTACAAATCTATATTAATAAAATTAGAGTTTTGTCTGTACATTGCTCAGAATTATCAATTTTTAGGTTATTGTTACGTTTTATACATTCAAGAATCCAAAAAAGATCTCATCTCAATTTCTGTCCGTCTGCCTGTCTGTCTTCCGTCTGTCACGGACCAAAAGCCATTTTACGTGGCCTCCTAAAAAACGAGAGTAGGCCTACCTATCAAGATCCGAATAATTTTAATGTATTCATTGGATTGGCAAAAGTGTCTTTAGCTATTAAAATATGACCTCACTACTTTGTAAAAAACTTACGGACGTTTAAAACCCCAATTTTGTGCAATTTTTGTCAAGTTTTCTCACAATGTTTATCACATAATCATCTATGAAATAACGAACAGCTGTTCGGATCAAGATTATTTTTCTCTAGCTGTCACTGATATGTTTACATTGAATTTTGTTTACAAATGCCGCAATCATTTCCGATTACGTTTCAAAATTAAACCCAAACCAAGTTGGATTAAAACCGTTTTTCCTTACATGACAGATTTAATTAATCGCAAGTTCAATGTAACCGTAAATAAAAAAAGAGCTTCTTTTTGTATAAAATTTGTATTGAGTTTTGATAACCGGGGAACATACCTTGAATCAGTGTTCTATATGGCTGGGAAACTTACATTTTTTACATAAGCGTTACCAATAGCTTACATAAAAGGTTTCAACTCATTGACGGCACTTCAATGGTGGTTGTGTAAAGTGTAAAGTGACAACTGCAGTGGGTGATTGTAACATAGGTTTACGGATTATGCTCAAATCGCTTTTCCAATGTGTCTTCTCAACGCTATTTGCTCTCGCAGGACCATACAGCCAATAGACCAATTGCCCATCTCTTGGGTTCGTAGGCCTAAACTCACAAAATCTCACACAGCGTGTATTTTACTATTCATAAGTTGGTAGCGCATATTACACAGTGTTCCGTACGGACAGGACAAGAGCACCCTCGATAGTGAAATTTCCAACCTGAATGTTTTATGGCAAGGTTGAGGTATAGTATTTTAACTATACATCGTTTGGTTAGTTAGGTAAGGTTAACTAACAAACGATATACTGTATCGAATTAAACAATCAAATAATCAATATTACTCATTTGGTTGTTTGTGCCAACAGATATGGAAGTGTACCCCTCATAGATCTATTTCGCATTTTTTTTTACTTGAAACTGTCAGATACTGTATTTGTTTATATATAATAGTTTGGCCAGCATATCTGAAAATATCCAAACCAACTGCTGTTCTTTATATAGGAAGGTTTCAACTGGCCACTATAAGATCCCCGTGCGTAGAATGGGCACACGGGCACACAGCTAGTAATTAATATTTAATTAGAGTCGGGACCACGTAAGTTTGCAGTTGAGGGAGGAGCCTATTTACCATATGGTTTTGAATGAACCAATGAGAACCGTGCGGTGTTGCCAAATCTAATAATACCAGCTGATTTGAAAATATTGCTTAGTATATTTTAATTAGTGTTGTCAACGGGCGATGTGGCAACGTCGCACTGGCCTTATCTTTGGATTGGCTGCCACCAACTGCAAACTTACGTGGTCCCGACTATAATACATCTTATCCTATACTCTAATACTAGCAATGTTTGTTTGTATGTATATATATGCTTGCTTGCTTGCAGAAAGATCTCAAAAACGGATCCGACGGTTTTCTTCAAATCTTGTAAATAGTTTATTTCTGGCCTAAAAACGAGTTTACTGCAGTTAGTACTTCCAACAAAAATCTAATAATGTAGAAAAATAAAACTGAAAGTCACATTTTTTTAGCATTAGTCTTATGGGTTGCAAAGTAACCATTTTGGCTGAATTAAATAACAAGGAAAAAGTAAACAAAATACTTGTAAGTTGTCTATCCATAGTATACTAGCAAAACAAAATACAGTACAAAAGGAAAAACATCAGTTGTTTCTATTGAGCAAAGATTATACTGAAGATTACTCGATACATTGTAGCATTGACTTTATATCTTACGGTATCTGCAATCATTAAATACTATGGGAAGGGAGGATAACAGGCCCGCGATGTAGGAAGTGGTAAAGAAATAGTCAAGGCAAGC